GGAAGGCTGAGGCGGAAGGATTGCCGGAGCCCAGCAGGTCAAGGCTGCAGTGGCCGAGAGTGGCCACTGCGCTCCAGCCTGGGCGACAGAGTGAGACTCCAACTCAAAAATAAAGAAATAAATAAATAAATAAACATTTTTATAGAGACAACTCTTTGCTGTGTTGCCCAGGTTGGTCTCAAACTCCTGGGTTCAAGTAGTCCCCCCGCCTCAGCCTCTCAAGTGCAGGCATGAGCTACCATGCCCGGCCCCACCAACATTTACTGGACGTCTGTTATGTGCCATGCACTGGGGCAGACACATGACCCTTCAACACCTCTACTCCACAAGTGGCTGTGGGAGGTCATCAGTGCATGTCCGTTCAGAGTGACCACCAACCAGGCCCATTTTGAGGCCCAGAGATACTAAGTCACTGGCCCAGGGTTCCAGAGTACGTGGAAGTCAGGATCTAAATTCTGGACCAGCTGATTCACAGCCCGGTTGGCTCTGCTGTTTCTCAAAGGTCAGGACTGAGTGTCACCCTGTGTGAGAGGCCAGAGATGACACTTGATTTCCTGGGGGACAGAGCCTTGGAGCCTGGCACAGAGCAGGAAGTGTGCCAAATGAAAAAGGAAGGGGACTGGGACAGTGGGCAGCAGGGACAGCAAGGGATGGTGTTGCAGCCTTAAGGCAGGGGTCGGAGAAGGCACTCTGAGTAGGCCAGAGCCCAGTGCTTGGAACTAGGGAGAAGAGCATGGTTCCTAGCAGGGGATACCAGCCTCGGCAGCAGGGAAGCCGAGGTCAAGGCTACGGGTAGACGGAGGGGTTAGGGGCTGGGAACATGTGAGTCCTCCCTTCTGGGTGGAACAGAAAACCATGCAGGGATCTTAGTGGAGGGGAGACGTGCTGTGGTCTAGGGAGGCAGGAAGGCAGCCACTGCAGGGCCCACTGAGACCCTCTGGCTCTGTTTCTCGGATGCCCGTCCAGCCCAGCCTGGCCACCACCCCCATATGCCCACTCATCCTAGAGCATGCCTATTCCAAGGGCATCCCTGAAAACCTTCCATGAAAGAAATTCTGCAGGAGCCCACTGGGTGAGAGTTCAAAACCCAGTGCTCTGGGTAGGAGGCTGACTGGGGGAGGGGGCAGGGGCAGGAGTTTGGATTTGACCTTGAAAACCCCTGTACACGCCCCACCCTCCCCATCCCCCTCATAACAGATCAGGAAACTGAGACCTAGGGAGAAGAGGAGCCTGCAGGTCCCGCAGGGAGGCAGCACCAAGCGGGCACAGGAACCAGGTCTCTGCCTCCAGCTCTGAGCCGCCTCTCAGCTGGGTCCCCAGTGGCCGCCGGAAGAGGATGTGAAAGCGGGAGGGGAGGGGAGGGAGCAAGACACTGGCAGGGAGGACCCCGGGGCCTGATGTGCCTGCGGGGGCGCTCCGGAGCCCCTGCCCGCACCCCCTCCTCCCTGCCTCTGTTGCCTTGCACCGTGCTCGAAGCCCTCCATTTGCAGCCAGGGGTTGGACGTCTACCTGGCCAGGGTCCCAGGAGGGTAAAGAAGCAGCCGAGACAACTTCTAACCTCACCCTGGGATCTCTGGGCTTTGGGAGCGGGCGAGTGATAGAAAGAGGGTCTGTGGGCTTGGCAGAGCAGCCAGAGTCCTGGGTTCCTGGGTTCTCCCCTTGAGATCTCGGGCAAGTCCCTGCTCTCTCTGGGCCTCAGTTTTTCCATTTGTCAAATGAGTGTTCTGGATTCATTCGATGGCTTCCAATGTCTGGTTTGCAGCAAAAGGAGACAAGCGGGGACAAGTTTGTAAGTTATTCTTAAAGCCGATGTGTTCATTTTGTGACTGTTCTTCTTTCCAGCGGTGGCCCTGCAGAGTTTCTCTTGGTGGTGTCTTTTCTGAAGTGATGGGAGTGGTGGTGGCATTTATTTATTTATTTTTTTGTCACTCTACTTGATGAAATATACTATTGGCAACCCTAGTTTGGTCCTTCCAGCCTAAAATGAAGTCCTGTGCCTGGGTGCAAGGGAGGGAGGACCTCTGAGATCTAATGGGCAGGAAAGGCTCCCAGAAGGAGTCAGTGGGGTCTCTGCCCTCCTCCCACAGCCCCTGGCTGAATTCATACACCCACCTGGTACTTCCCCTGGCAGAGCCCTGTTTTGATCTTGGCTACTTGCACGTACTCACCTTCTGGCTCATTTAGATCTTGGCTACTTGCACCTACTGACCTTCTGGCTCTGGTGATTTCCAGGCCCCTAAGGCAGGGGGAAGGGGAAGGGGGCTTGGGGCACTAGGGAAAAGCGCTGACCCACCTGAGAGGAGTGGGTCCAGCTGGAGCCCCTCTGCTCATCCTTGGCTGGCCCATAGCCTGGTACAAGCGGGAATTCCTGGCCCTGCCCGTCACAGGAGCAGGTATGACAGCCACGCGGCTGACACCAGGCCTAGGCACTCGGGTGCTTGACTCCACTGGGGCAGACAGGCGACAGGCACACTGGCTGAGGGCCTCGGTAGAGCCCACTCCCCGCTGGGCCCCCGCCCCGCCATGGCCCGGGAAGCAGACCATGCTGTGCCCAGGGGGAGGAAAGACTCTGTGTTCTTTGCCTGTGTCTCTGTGGTGACGGCCAGACGGTGGGTGGTTGCCTGCCGCACTGCTCCCCGAAGCCCGACACCTCAGCCGGCACCTCCGGCCACAGCGGCCACCGAGGTGAGTTTCTGGGACAACTGGTGCCTCTGCTGGGGAGAGCCTGGGTGGGTCACTACCAGGGCCCCAGGCTGGGGAGTCGGTTTCCTTGGACTTCCCTCCTCCCTTGTCAGAACTGGTTGAAGGAGTTTGACTGGAAGGCTCAGAGAAATCTCCATCCGCCATCCTGGGTGTGAGCAGGGAGGCAGGGGTCACTCTGCTGATGGTGCCCGTGTGTGCACACCCTGGACAGCCTCTTCATCTGTCCCAGGCTCGGGTACATCAGTACGGGGTGGTGTGGGCTGTCCCAGCAGTTCCGTTTGTAGGATGTTTCTTGGATTACCAAGGGCTCTTGTGCATTGCTTTACCATCTGCTCTCCTGAGAACCCTGAGAGCTTGGTGGTATTGTTACTATTGTCCCCATTTTACTGACGGAGAAACTGGGGCTCAGGGAGGCAAAACCAAGGCAAGAAGACCCAGAGAAGGGATTGGAACCCCAATCTAGGCTCCTGATCTTAAGAGAGAGTTTCCCAAACATACAAGGAAGAAGGGCCCTTCAGGGCTGCACAACCCTAGCCCCACTATGCCTGTCGCTTACAGCCGGCCCTTGGCCAAATCTGGCCCTTGGCCGAGTGTTTCAGAGGATCTCAGGGCTGGGGCTGCGACTGACCACCTTCCTCCAGAATGGGAGATGATGGAAGGAATGGGGAGGGGATGTTGGGCCCCTTAGGCTGTGATGTCCCCTGCTTCGCACATCTGTGGGACAGATGTTGCTGCCTCCCGACCAGGGCCTCTGAGCTTGGAATCAGGTCTGAGGCTAAGGCTGGGATCCGCCGGGCCACTGCTCCCTTTCTTGGCCATGTGTGTTCAGTGCTCCCTCGGCCACAGGAGGGGCTCTGCAGCTGTAGGTGGGCCTGGAAGGGGGAGAGCCTCATCCTCATCTCTCTGCAGTCTCCCTGTCCCCTCACTGTCACCCTCTATGTTTTGGGCCCGCTTTCGAGTCTTGGTCTCTGTTCCCATCTGTTCGCTTCCCTTTCTGTCTCTCTTCCTCTGCTTCCCCCTACCTTGGGGTGTTACAGGTTTAGTTGGTGGCCCTCGTGGGGGGCAATGACTCCAGGAGTTGGGGACAGTCGTCAGAGTGGCCCCAGTTCCAGCGTTTATCACGGTGATAGTGATGATGGCTCCTCGGTTTGCTGCCTCTGCCAAGTCTCAGGGATTTGGGGGGTGGGGCTTGTGAGGCCTGCTTCCAAGGGAGGACAGCAAGGCCCCAGGGTGAGCCCCTGGCTGACTGGGAATCCTCTGTGTCCCATCCTGGGCCGTCCTCACTGTCACAGGCATTTTGTTCTGGTTGCCCTGTGAGGTCAAAGTTGGAGTCATGATGTCACGTCCCTCCACCCAGGGTGGTCTCCTGGAGGCTCTGATGCTTTATTTCTCACCTCCTGACCAGCTCTGAGGGTTCAGCCTCCAGCCCATGGGGACTCCCCTTCCTGGGGGGAGGAGAGGAGGAGGAAGCCAAGCCACTGGAGGTTCCCAGGAAGCCAGGGGAGGTGGGGCTCAGCCAGGCCCCGCCCACTGTACAGGAGCTCCCACACTTGGTCCAGGTGTGGCACCTCCTGTCCAGGTATATAGTCACCCACCCACAGAGGGCCACCCCAGGCCCTAGGCAGGCTAGGAATGGTGACATCAGTGCCAGGAAATGACCGAGAAGTGTGGCCAGGCCACACCATCCTCATGCCTCCCAGGCTCTAAATATAGATCACAATAGACAAACAGACCAGGTGACCTCCATCTGCCAAGCAAGAAGTGACAGGTTTTCTACCAGGGCCTGACCTGAGTCTGAGTACCTGGCTGCCATTCCTCCTGGCCTTGGCCAAGCCCAGGTTGGAAGAGGCGATGGCCGAGGGCCGCGATCACCCAGACACTGCCTCATGATCCAAATTCCATTCCATTGGACCTGGATTTGAGAGTCCGGGGGCAGCATTTATGAACTACCTCTTGTGTACCCAGAGAGGGCTGGGTGGAAGGTGGGATATGCCATCCAGGCAGAGGGGTCGACTTGAACAAAGACCCAGAGAAGGGATGATTTGAGGCTCTGGGAAACTGCAGCAGTTCTGTGAGAGGGGCCCCGAGTTATCAGTGGGGACTGCACCAGGTCTTGGTCTTCTGCTTGAGGGAAGTGGGGAGCGGTGGGGCTTTTATTTATTTATTTTTGTTTTTCCTAGTTGGGGTTTCACTCTGTCACCCAGCCTTGACTTCCTGGGCTCAGGTGATCCTCCTGTCTCAGCCTCCTGAGAAGGTGGGACTACAGGCCTGGGCCACCACACCCAGCTGATTCAAGGGAATGGAACTCCAACTCAAACAAACAAACAAAACATTTTTTTTTTGTAGAGATGAGGTCTCACTGCGTTCCCCAGGCTGGTCTCTAACTCCTGGACTTAAGTGAACCTCCTGCCTCAGCCTCCCGAAGTTCTAGGATTACAAGTGTGAACCACCACACCTGGCCTGGCAACGGGACTTTGAGAGATCAAGACCCCTCTGCCTGCTGTGTCTAGGGGACCAATGATGGCGTGGGGGCTAGGGACAGAAGGGACACCATAGATATGGCCTGAACATACCATAGATATGGCCTGAACATACCTCTTCCTTAAACCAGATATGTCTGCTGGGGGGGTGGTCACGGATTGTGTAAGATGCCCAGGGGGTCTATGGTGAACCCTGGAGCACATGCCCCAACTGAAGGAGATAACTGCTGGTCAGCCACTGCCCAGCCTCTGGTAGCGCGTGGGAATGCAGACAGTGCAGTCAGGTTGTCCGAAGTTACAGGGGAAGCCGGAAATGTGGATTTTTATATGAAATCACCTGACATTTTCCTGTTGGCTCAAAAATTTAAAAACACTTTGCAAGCCAAACAAAACACGCATGTGGGCTGGATTGGGCTCCTGCTGTCGGTTCACAGTCTGCCTTTTAAAGTTCCTCTGTGAGCAACATCCAGCTTCCAGAAGGTCTGTGAGTGGTGTTTTCAGGGTGCTTGTAGTAGCCCCGAGGAAGGGAAGACATAGGAAGAGGTTGGGAACCTGGGAAGGCTGAGGGGGAGGCATGAGCTGGGGACTGGAGAAGGGAAGATGGGAGAGACACAGGTTTCTAATAACCCTTCACTTCCTGGGAGTGCCTTGTGCTCTCAAGAGTCCTCTGTTCCTCCCAGGAGACCCTCCAAGTACCAAGCCCAGGGTTAATATTGGCCTTGAGCTTCAAACTCACCCAGGGTCACTGGGGCTGCCTCCAGCCCCCAGCCTTGACAGCACAGTCTGGGCATTGGGACTCAGTTTCCCAGCTGCCCACTGTTTCAGTCCCCACAGTGAAGCCTCCAGCCCCTTTTGCTGTAAGGATGCCGGGAGTGACTCCTGAGCACGGATCGAGAAACGTGGGAAATGGTAAACCTGGCCGGGTGTCACTGCCTTGGCTTGGAGTCTGAAGTATGTGGCCTTCCCTCGAGGGTTGCTGGGATTCACCGGAGGTGAATCTCATTTTTCTTCTTGCAACTTTTGTTATGGACAATGCCAACTAGACATAAAAATAGAGAAAATGGCATAAAGACCCACAGCTTTAATGACCCAGTCTTGTCTCACCTTTTACTGCCCTACTTCCTGCTCTCCCTAAGGGGATGATGTTTACACAAATCCCAGGAGAACCATGCCATCCGCACACAGCTTCAATATGTAGTTCTAATGTGACCACAACACCGTTAATCACACCCAACAAGGTGTCTAATGTCATCGGATATCCTGTAGTATTCAAATAATCCTAAGTGTCTCGTAGTTGTTTTTTTAAAAAGCTGCTTTGATCAAATCAGGATCCTGAATCTCCTTAC